TTCACACCATCCAACTTCCCATAACTCTCCGAAAACGAGTCGTGCTGTCCAAATTTAAACATCTGTCGTCACTTTTTCAGAGTTTCATGTAAAGCCCCCAGTTTAAAAAAAAAAAGGAAGAAAAAAAAAAGAATGCTTTAGGATTAAAAATAAAAATTCAAAAAATTCGCCAGAAAACAAATATGGCGGCCCCCAATTTAACCATTTGACTGAAAACCCCGAGGCTGGGACGAGAAGGGACGAACAAACACAAAGACTCAACTGTTTGTCCGTCCCTTCTCGTCCTAGTCTCGGGGTTTTTAGTTAAATGTTTAACCACCACCAGCTCGTTTGCGCCCTAACCTTTTGCCCACAATTGAGGTTACTGTTTAGTTGTGTCTTGCCTAAAATTGGTTTAACGGGTCTATCGACACGTTAAACCGATTTTTAGGCAAATTAGCGACAATTAAAATTACGCCGGAGCTTCCCATTTTACCAAAAATATGGAAAGCATTTCCATGGTTCAATTCAATCACCAGTATAAATAGCTCCATCTCAAATCTGTACGTACCTTGCAGGCTGCTAGGTACGTATACATTCCGAGTCAAAATGTCCATCGAGACGAAATGTCCATCAAGTCGGAATGTCCAATATTCAACATTGTGATTCTCTGAACATTTCGTCTCGATGAATGTTTTGACCTGGATGGACATCTTGACTCGATAGACATGTTGTTCCGATAGACAATTTGACCCCTTAGACAGTTTACCTCGTTGACTCATTATTTTACCACTGGTGCTGATACCGACTTGTATACATATGTAATATATATACACGCGCGTTCCTGCAGAAACGGTCATAATCTGACCACTTGCGCATATATGGGTAAATTTATTTTATTTTATTTTTCTTGTCCCGGATGTTTAGGAAAAACCAGCCTTTTCTATTCGAAAAAAAAAAAAATATTACGGCCCGCTCAACCTAAGCCAGAACGTGCCTAGTGCCGGAACAAGATGCTTAATGTTCAGAGAAAAGTGGTAAACATTTTAAAAGTTGTGAGCGAAAAAACAATGTAAATGACAAATAAGTTTAAGTTAAATAAGTTGACAAATAAGCTTAAGTTTCACGAATTTAGCAACTTAAAAACAATCACGAACAACTGGTCCCGCGAATCATTGACCCCATGCTAATGAATACGCAGTATGCCACTCTAAATCTCGAAAATTTGTTCGGAGAAATTCACCACATATCAAACTCGCAAAAAAAAAAAAAAAAAAAAAAAAAAAAAAAAAACCTAATTTACAGTATTCACGGCCTCTGTTTTTTGTTGGCCGTTAGTTCAACGTTAAGATATAGCGCTTTCTTTTGAAAACCTCGGCTCCGGTATCGAACAACTGGACTTACGTCCTGGCAAACTTTAATTATGTTAGCGCTAAAAAAAAAAAAAAAATACTGCTCCCAACGGCGTGTGTATTGGTAGTACCAATGGTTTGATATAACTAAAAATGTCGTACAATTACTGTAAAAGATTTGACACTTAGATAAAATAATGTAAAAAATAAGTAGAGACAAAGATTTAGAAAAAAAAAAACGAACTTGAGAATACTTCTTTGATTCGTAATGGCGGGCACCAATATCTTCACCCCTGTGATGATTTTGCAATTTGGAATCTTAATGTGGCTAACTTCGGTTAAAAGCGAACGATCTACACATGAAGACGTTCGAATCAGGAACTTTTAAAACGGAGCTCTAGAACAAATGTCACATTGTTGCCACAAGCAACGTTACACTTCACTACGCCACAATGTCCCAAGACACAACTGAATACTATCAGTGGCGTAGCGGGGGGGGGGGGGGGGGGGGGGGGGGGGGGAGGGGGGGGGTTAGGATTGACGGCGGCTTGGAATACCGCGGAAAAGCCGGATTGACGTAGCTTTTGCACAGCGGCCTCGACGTCATCGACATGACGGAGGGCGCCGATTACGTCGAGCGAGGTTGTTTGGAGCTGCCTAGACTGCGGCAACGTCAACGAAAGCACCTTCGCGGCGGTGTTAATGCTGCGATGAATGTTGGCGTCACGATACATGCCAGTAATTGGTGGGCCTTCGCAGACGCCTCGCCACTACCAGCTTCATCCTGCAGAATCTCAAGTGACAACACAACAGCTTCGTAGACCTCTACAAATGTTTGAAGGCCTCGTGGCGTTCAACCCAACGAGTTTCACACAGCGCTAAAAGCCGCCGCTTCGTCGTTTCAGGGTGCAGCTCCCTGATCTTTTCCTTGAGAATTGCTGATCTACGTGCAGACCTTCTAAAAAACACACAGACTACCTGTACCGTAATCAACGCGTTACGTATCTCGGGGACACTTCACGAACAGCAAAGCGCCAAGTTAAGCGAGTGACTTGTGCAATGCATAAAGAGGGCTGCGGGGTGTTCCCGTTGGATCCCAGCTTGGACCCCGTTCAGGCGGCCGGACATGTTGACCGCACCATCGTATCCTTGGCCACACAAATAGGTGCCGTCGACACCCTTGTCCCTAAGAAGCGCCGCAAGGGTCGAAGCGAGTCCTTGTCCAGACAGATTTGTCACCTCCACGAATTCCAAAAAGTCTTAATGTAGGTTGTCCAGCAGGTACCGCACGCAGACAGACATCTGCCCGGTTCCTGAAAAGCGTACCCTATCGTCAATTATACAAGATTTAGAACAAACTTATGCTTTCTTTCAATGTTTGCACAGAAGCGCATATGCTGTGGGTCTTAAGCTTATATAGTGACTTTAGTAGCTACCAAGCATTCTGTACAGCATGCCCGTGCCACCTAGCCGGTGGGATTGCGTCATCCCATAGCCCTTTCGAAAAAACGATCCGGGCGTCGTCGACGAAGACAACGAAAAAGATAGTGCACCGAGGAGCAAGGTAGCCTTCGGTGCGCTTACCGTAAAATAAATACAACCTCCTGCATGCGGTTTTCACTTTCTCCCGCTTCCTTCTGCAACCACGTGGAAAAAGAAATAAAGGGTTTCTTCCACCGTGGTAGCGACGAACCGCTTCTCCGTGGCGGGGCGACGAAGGCGCTGCGAGAGTAGAAATTGCGGACGTGTCGCAAACCTAGTGCTCGAAACGGGTTGCGCGCTTGTTACGAAGTCGTATACGGGGCAAGCACGACGAATGCCGGGACTGTCCTGTGATCAGCGCGTCAAAACGCTTTTGACAGCGTCGCCCCTTCGGACCTCGGACCACGCATCGGGAGGAGTCTATGGACGATTCTGCGGGTCCCGGTGAATATTGGACTTCGTGAACTTTCTTTCGTAGCGAGTCTCAAAGGCGTTTTTTTGTTAACTCTCTTTCTCTCTAGTTTGTATTCACTGTTGGATTCTTAGCTTATTCCCTTGTGTTGTCGATTTTCTTAACATAGCCAGAAGTTTACAGTTACTTTGCCTTGCATTTGACTTGCATCGAATGCCCACCGACTCGTCAATGGTAATCGGCAATAGGTACGTCCCTCGGCGGAATATGGCAGTTGTGACAGTGTCCACTGTTAGGGTGTCGTACCGTACACGGACAAGAAGACATGCCGTCTCATCGCTTTTGGGCGGAGTTTAGAGCGAAGCAAGCAAAAGGCGCGGAAATATTTGAAAGCTTTTTCTTGTATTTTTTTCCCCTTTTTTTTTGTCGTCGCGCTTAACTATTACGTACCCTCCTGAACTCACCCGTGGCTCCTTTTTTACTTACAAAAATATAAGTGCTATATCTTGCGTGACTCGTGCAACACGAAAATTTTCTGGTGGCTTTCGCTAGAGCAATCTCATCGGTAGTTCTACATTGTTCAAGAAATGCGCCCCGGAGAGCTCTTTAGTTTGAGGTGGAGTATAAACAATAATAATAACATTTCTTACCCGAAATGTCTGTTGTTTCGTCCGCAAGCAAGGAGAAGCACTTCTCACTGTTGACTCGACTGACGGTGGTCTGCTGAACCAGAGTGCTGCTCGCCACCAAGATTTTGTTTTGTGTTTGTGGGCTTAGGTACGTCTCGTTGCCTGGTGCTGTCTCCAGGCGATCCCTGATAAGTTCGTTCCCGCTGCAAATTTTCAAGCGCACCAGTGCACGAAAGTTTCCGTCATCTTCGAGAGGGTTCTCCAAAGAGAGCGGTCCGGCGTCACGATGTCCTCTGCGAGGTATGCCATGCCTCCCGCAAAATAATACAACTTATATTATTGAAATTAGCTTCTTCCGGTTGGTCTGCCTCTGCAAGCGTGCAGCGGAGTCCATCCTCTCTTGACTGACTCTCCTCGCGCGGTTTGTACGAAGTTGTCGGCGTCCAGAACTGCCATCTTGTGGTATTCGGTCTCGCTGTGTGCTTTGTGTTGCAAGTCGTGTTGCAAGTTGCGCCAGGGAACGGTGACACGATAGAAAGGCAGAACAAGAGGTTTAAAATGGCGATCGGCTTAAGTCGTGCTATCTCGGAGTACCTTGAGAAATAATCTGTCATGATCAACCACCAGTGGCTGTTGAAGTAGAAAAGATCCATTGCAACGCGCTGCTGTGTTCGGTCACAAAATTCCGTGTTTAGAAGCGGCATCTTGCGATTGCACGTGGTTTTGATGCATTCGTTGCATTGCTTTACTGTGGCAGTTATCTCCGCTGCTATTGTTGGCCACCAGACATGGGCGTCCACAGAACTTTTTCCAGGGGGGGGCACCCGTGCACATAAAGGGCCGGGGAAAGGGGGGGGGGGGGGGAGGTTAAGGGAAAAGAAATTGCCAAAGATGCGCGATTTCTGGTGTAAACTTCAAGGATAAAAAAAAAAAACATTAGAAACGGCAAGGTAAACTGCCAAGCTTAAAAAATAGACTGGATTTTGTTATTGAACAAAGCGTTAAGTTTAATTATTCAAATTGCAGAAAAATTATTAAAAATATGTTGACAACAAGAGTGCCAAGTCTCTGTGAACGTGAGTTCGCGGCTCACGCGAACTGATGACCAGCACGCAACACAAAATGTTCACCAACATGCGACTGTAGTTAGTCTTCCTTGAATAACAGCTGCAGACGCCTTGGATTTTTCTGGGCAAATTGCGTGATTACACGGGTGATAAAGTCGTCCTTGTGTTTCATTACACGCTCCCGGTGTACGCTCATCATACAAAGGCCGTCCAGCCTATCGTTCCTCATAGTTGAACGTAGCCACGTCTTCACTCTCCTTAGTGTACTGAACGAGCGTTCGACAGTGCAGGTGGTAACTGGTAAGGCAAGAGCCACCTCGATGGCGTTTGCGACAGCGGGGAAGAACGTCTTTGCCTGAAGCAGAAGTTCGGGATAAGATATTTCTGAGCAGTCCCCAGTTCTGTTGAGCCACATCTCATACCAGGAGATGCCCTCTTCCTTGAAGTTTTCGATGCCGTAAAAGCCTTGGAGTTCATCGGCGAGAACAGCAAACTCAACGCGACTCAAGTGCTTCATTCTTGCTGGATGCAGCTGGAGAAGTCTGTAGCTCTTCTTGTTGCTTTCAGAAAAGCGGCGAGACAAAGAAGCATTGAGAGAGTCCAAGTACGGCACATATATTGCCACGCGGTAATACTCTTCCGGCAACTGTATCCCGTAGTTGTCTCGGTGCGCCTGCCGTGAGGCTTGTCTGGGTACAGATATCAACACGCCTAGATGATTGGCCGCTTCACTTGCTGTCTTCATGATATCCGAGAACTGCTCTTCAGCGTTGGTCCGGTGGCCGCGAAAAATATTCTGCAGCTCAGTGATGTGGTTGTGTACAGAATGGAAATTCATGGATACACTCTGCAAAATGTTCGTAACGGGTTCCAGCCGTGCGCTGTACTTCGCGACAATGTGCAAACAGACGATGAAAGATGAGCTCGTTGTTGCGCAGTGGAGGATATGAGCGCGTTCCCTCGTTGCAGCATTCGAGCTTGATTCCATTGATGCCAGGTCCTCGAGCGCTTCGACTATGGCCACGTAATGCTCAGAGAAGATCCGAATTGACTTGTATTTTGCAGACCACCTTGTTTCACACAGCATCGGAATGTTGGGCACCAATTTCCTTCGGAGAACGCTCTCACGGAAGAAGTTTATGGTTTGTTTTATGACCCCTATCGTGTTTCGAATTTCAGAGACCTCGTTCAGATCGTTGATCACGAGATTGAGTTTGTGGCTTGCGCAGTGGAAGAATAGTGCCTTAGGAAGCTCTTTCTGTATTATCCTGTTTACTCCAGCTTCTTTTCCAGCCATTGTAGAGCATCCATCGTATCCCTGTCCAACGAGGTTCGACAGAATCAGCCCGGCATCCTTCAAAAACTTCAAGATTGTAGCGCCGATGCAAGCGGAGTTCAGTTGTTCCAGCTCTAAAAATCCCATAAACTGCTCCCGAACGAATGCCTCGGTTCCCGCCTTGTCAATAAAGCGAATCCCTATAGACAGCTGTTCTGTTCCTCCAATGTCCGCCGTTTCATCCGCAAGGACGGAGAAAGCCAACGCTGTGTTAGCTTCGGACACAATTTGCTCTCTCAGGATGTCGCCACAGATTGTGATGATCTCGTTCTGGATCCGGACAGAAGTGTACTTTGCGTTGACAGCACAAGAAGCGAAGTGTTCCTGAAGTCGAGCATCTCCAGCTTCCACCCGAAAATCAAGGAGATCGTTGAAGACTCCACTGTCAGACTGCTTCCCGCGAATAGGCAAGTCATGCGTTGCGCAAAAGATGATGGTGGAAACTATAGGAAATAGTTTCTCGCGGTTCTTTTCAACTTGGTGATGCAGTGCTCTGTTCAGCTGCTGTGCAACGGGTAGCTGCTTGCTCATCATTACATTCATAAAGTCTTGTGAGGCTGCCATTGCTTCCTGGTGCCATTGGGACTTTACGTGATCCCTGCACGCCTCATGCATCTTTTTGTAGTTCATGAAAGCACGCACGATAAAGCTACCTTGAGTGCCGCGGTGAACATTCGGGGGAAAAGTGACGCAGTAACGGCAAAGGGCGCCTTTCGCTTTCGCTGAGTACGCAAGCCAAGGGGAGTAATCTGCCAGCCATTGGTAGCGGAAACTTCTTCTGACAGATGTTACATCTTTCTTAAAGTCGTACTTAACATCTGGCGTCCATGGGTCTTTAAGAAGGCGTAACTTCAAAGAGTCCGGGATGCTCGGGTGTTTAGCTTTGTCTAGAAACTCTCCCAAGTCATAATTATTAAAGACCCGAGTTGCTTCCTTGCTGGAGTCACCTTGGTTTAAACCCAAACAAGGGGAAGGGGAATCATCGTAGCTTACTACGTCGTGGGAGCTCACCGTTGGTGCAGTCCCTTTCGTAGACTCGACGATGTCAGCTGCTGTCTGCTGATGAAAGCTTGCTTCACTTTGGTCAGATGTGGCAACGTTGAAACATGTCACACCAGGATCTTCAGCAGGACAACTTGATAACACTTCGTCACACATCCGCTGACGCTTGAAGAAGTGTCGAATGTCCATTGTTTCGGATCGCGCTAGGCAAAGGTGACTAGAGAGTGCCTCGTGGGAGATGGCGAACAGGCGAAATGGACGGATTGATTGTAACGGACACAGTGAACAGTCATAGCGGGCAGTAGCTTACGTCTTTGGAATCGTTGTTTGTTCAATTCTTCACTCCACGCCAGCAAATCCCAGCACGGCGTACAGAACACCGAAGCCCGCGCAGTACCGGCAGATCGCAGTCGTGTCGATGACTATGCGGCTACCCTGGTGTTTTTGTTGCTTTCATTCGTCTGAAGTGTCTGACACTCGTTCTTATACACAGAAAACAAGGCAAGGTATATTATGTCACGTATTAAAGACTTTCAGCAATAAAAACAGCGTATATAATTAATTAACCTTACTATTAAGATAGATAACAATTCATCAAATTTGGTTTCGGTTTGATTTAACTGGAATCTAAAAATGATGGCGTAGCAACTTAGTTTCGTTGAAACGGTTCGTATTAAAAGGTACTACTCCCTCAACCTTGAATGCAGTACAAGTTTTTCCAGGGGCGGATTTATGGTTCAGGTTTTGAGGGTTTGGGATGGGGGGGGGGGATACAAAGAGATGTGAAGCCACGTGCGAATGGTACTTTGTTCCCCCGAAATGTAGTGGGCAATTTGATACAAAAACTCTGTACGATATAAGAATGCAAAATCCATGAAATTCATAAGAAAAAAATAGCATCGAACTTTCAGCTTAGAATTGTCCTCTATCATAAATATCTTCAATAGCCAGCCAGCGTTTCCTTCACCACCGGGACCTGACGGGCTAGATCAGTCATAATATGTGACACGTAAAGTCGGCTCGCAATCCTAAAGGGCGTTTTGTACGGATAGGGCGGACTTCTTGTCATATGGAGAACTCCAGTGTGTTGGCAAAAGTTGAGTAGCTTTTTACCAATGCATGCTCAAACTAAAAAAAAAAAAAAAAAAAAATGCTCCAAAGTTGCAGGGGGGGGCAACCGCCCCCCCTTGCCCCCCCTTCCGGACGCCCATGCCACCAGACACAGTCCCTTGCGCTTGCTTGTGTTTTCGTGATGCCGAAGTGGCGTTCATGAAGGAGGTGCATGATCTCTTTTCTGCACGAGACAGGAACGACGACACGGGCTGCATAGAGGAGCAAGTCGTCTTCTACGGTGAGCTGGTGTCGGTGCTCAAAGAAAGGTTTCAGGTCTTGTGGCAAGTCTCTTCTGGATGGCCACTTCTTTGAGCTTAGTTTTCGTAGCTGGTGTTGTGTCTGGTGATTTGAACCAGAAGAAAGAAGCCGGTTACGTAAACTGATAACCGTCTTTATTCATGGTGCCGGAAAAGTCCCCCTTGGATTCGCTCGCCTTTCTTTGGCTTACAGAACGGCTTGCTAAAATATCGAAACTGAAACCGAAACACAACATTCCCCCCTACCTTAATGACTGAAGCAAACTTAAGAGTGGTGGGAAAAAGAAGGTAAAAATGAAATACAAATGATGTTCAAACACTTTCAACAGTTCACTGTCAGTTCCGGTAGCGTGGGGGCTTGAGCCCTCTTGAAGCTCTGGCAGGGTATCGACTGGCTGTCTGCTGACAGTTGTCTTGTACAGCCGTTCCGTTGTTTTGTCCTGCTTGCTCTGTGGCATCTTTAGCTGGAGGATGGAGATCGTCATCCTCATTGTCCTCTTTCTCGTGCAACTTTAAGTCAGCGTTTATCTTCTCAAAGAAACTTGCGTTTCGAGTTATGTCTCTTTCTCGTCGTCTTGCCGTGATCTTCGATCCTTGAACCTTTGTCACCACCTAGGGGTCTGGGTCGAAGTATGGCGTTAGTTTGTGCTGCTTCTTTTGTTTGCACAATACTATATCCCCTTGTTTCAATGAGTGTTGTCGAGTGTGGCGTCGCTCATCACTGTATTGCTTAGATTTCCTTTTTGCGGCTTCGTCATCTTGACGCACATTGAAGTCCTCGTTCACTCCGTTGTCTGGGGGTCGTGGTAGTATTGTCTGCATCTGTCTGCCAAAGAGAAGTTCGTACGGAGATCTCTTAGTTGTGGCATGTGGGGTTGCTCTGTAGCACATCAAGAAGTCATCCATGCCCTGCGTCCAATCTCTTCCCTGGACAAGCAGAGCCTTGATGGCCTTGGTTAAGGTTTGAACAAAGCGCTCTGCCTCACCGTTGGCTTCGGGCCAGAGTGGTGTCACCCTGTGATGTGCAAATCCCAGTTCAGCTGCAAACTCCTTGAACTCGCTTGAGTTGAAAGGCGGCCCATTGTCGCTCTTGACTTGTTTAGGGATGCCCATTTCAGCGAATGTTCGTCTCAGGAATTACAGAGTTGAGGTTGCGTTTGTCGAGGATACTTGTCCCACCAATGGGAAGCGCGAGTACTCGTCGATAAGAATGAGCAGGTACTTTCCATTCTGAAACGGTCCTGCGAAGTCGATGCACAGGTTTTCCCATGGCCCATGAGGGAGAGGCGTTGGCTCCACAGGATCGCGATATGATGTGGGTGTAGATGCCTGGCACGGAATACAGTTTTGCACAGCTTGTTCGACCAACGTGTCCATCCTGGGAAACCACACCGAAGTGCGTAGGAGTTGCTTGGTCTTTACGATGCCCATGTGACCTTTGTGCGCAAGCTGAACAGCATGTTGCTGAATACTTGCTGGCAGCACGATCCTTGTGCCTCGAAGAATGATGCCTTCAGGCGTCACGGCAAGCTCTGTCTCCAGGTGTCTGTAGGGTTTGAGTGTGGTAGCACTCCATAGGAGATGTCTCTCTGTACCCTTGGCTTGAATGGCTTGTCGCAGCTGGCAGTATGTTAAGTCTTTTGTGGCTGCCTCGATTACTTGTTTTGTCGTCATCACCTTTGGTATCGCTGCCTGTGACAGGAACAGAAGGTACTCATCAGGAACCTTATCTGTCCTGTAACCGTTCCGAGTGAACTTCAGGGGGTGGCGTGACATGTAGTCAGATGGATTCTCAGTGCCTTTTTGCTGTTCAGCTTGCGCACAAAGGTCACATGGGCATCGTAAAGACCAAGCAACTCCTACGCACTTCGGTGTGGTTTCCCAGGATGGACACGTTGGTCGAACAAGCTGTGCAAAACTGTATTCCGTGCCAGGCATCCACACCCACATCATATCGCGATCCTGTGGAGCCAACGCCTCTCCCTCATGGGCCATGGGAAAACCTGTGCATCGACTTCGCAGGACCGTTTCAGAATGGAAAGTACCTGCTCATTCTTATCGACGAGTACTCGCGCTTCCCATTGGTGGGACAAGTATCCTCGACAAACGCAACCTCAACTCTGCAATTCCTGAGACGAACATTCGCTGAAATGGGCATCCCTAAACAAGTCAAGAGCGACAATGGGCCGCCTTTCAACTCAAGCGAGTTCAATAAGTTTGCAGCTGAACTGGGATTTGCACATCACAGGGTGACACCACTCTGGCCCGAAGCCAACGGTGAGGCAGAGCGCTTTGTTCAAACCTTAACCAAGGCCATCAAGGCTCTGTTTGTCCAGGGAAGAGGTTGGACGCAGGGCATGGATGACTTCTTGATGTGCTACAGAGCAACCCCACATGCCACAACTAAGAGATCTCCGTACGAACTTCTCTTTGGCAGACAGATGCAGATGGGTTGGTCAGAATGTTGATCAGGGGCTTGTGATCAGTGTGAAGGCTGAACTGAGTCCCGTACAGATACACATTGAAGTGTTCGATTGCCCACACGACAGCCAAGGTCTCTTTTTCGATCTGGGAGTAGTTGCGCTCCGGATCCGTCAGACTACGGCTTGCGTAGGCGATCACTTGGAGTTTGTCACCATCTCCCTGAGCTAGTATGGCTCCTAGACCTTGCGGACCCGCGTCCACAGTTAGGTGGGTAGTCTTCTTGCTGTCGAAGTAGGCCAGGGCGTGGCTGCTTGTGAGTGTGTCCTTCAGCTTGTTCAGCGCTGCCTGATGCTCCATGGTCCACTGCCAGTCAACGTCTTTCCTTGTGAGGTTGCGAAGAGGTGCGGTGAGGTCTGCCAGGTTGGGGATGAACCTTCCCGAGTAAGTGATCATGCCCAGGAGGCTCCTCACTTCTGCTGGACTGTTTGGTGGGGCCATGTCAAGAAACGCTTGGACTTTTGCCGGGTCAGGTTGCATTCCTTTCGCTGAGAAGATGTGCCCAAAGAATGTCAATTCCCGTTGGGAGAAAGAGCACTTCTTCGGGTTGAGTGTGAGTCCACAATCCCTGAGGCGTTGTAGTACAGCTTCCAGCGAGTTATTATGTTCTTGATCTGTTTTTCCATATACTAAGATGTCATCGCTGATGTTAATGACTCCTGGGATTCCAGCGAGCACTTGTCGGACCGTGTTCTGGAACAGCTCTGCAGCAGCATTAATTCCAAAGTTCAAACGCTTGTATCGGTAGAGTCCGATGTGGGTAGCAAACGTTGTGATGTGTCTCGAGTCCTCGTGCGATACTAGCTGGTGGTATCCGTCGTTGAGATCTAGTTTCGAGAACACAGACGCGCCATTGAGGCTTGTGACGAGATCATCCAGCGTTGGGGATGCATGCCGCTCTCTGTTGATGGCTTGGTTTGCTCGGCGGATGTCTACGCACATCCGAACAGTGTTTGGTGCATGTGGCTTTGGCACAACGACGATGGGAGAGACCCACGTAGTGGGGCCCGAGGCTTTCTCGATCACATCGAGCGCTTCCAGTCGCCGTATCTCTTTTGTGACCAGCTCACGTATGTTGAACGGGATGGGTCGTAGCTTCTGTGTCACTGGTGGAATTGATTGATCAATGTGCAGTTTCACTTCAATTCCTTTGAGCTTTCCTAGTCCTCTGAATAGCTCGGGGTACGTCTCTTGGATGCTCTGCGAGGGAGAAACCTTGTACACGATTGACACAAGTCCCAGAGCTTCGGCTGACTTGAAGCACAACAGTGACTCACTTGGCGTCTTTGTTACCAATATGGTATCCCGCAACTTGGTGTCCTTGTAGCAGAGTTCAGC